TCTTTTTCGTGGTAAACCCTATCTGAGAATAACTGGAATAGGAAATCTCTTAAGTGCCTTTCCAGCCCGCAAGTTTCTGCAGTTCTTTCATTCACAAGACGAGCTGGACTGTCTTCATTTATTTCGCGATTAACATGTTTTAGATGCTTTGTGAAATATGTGAGACTTTTCAGTGTTTGCAGAATCTCAGCAGCGTGATTTTGAGAATTCCTGTATCAACCTGCAGTTACTGTAAACCAGTGGTAGATTCATCCCTAGCAAATGTAGACTTCTGAATTAATCCGTTTTGCTCATTGGCGTATAGTTCTGTTTCCACTTCGTATTTCACTCATCCTTGTCCTACAGCTCAAAACACACTTCCAAACATGCTGCTGTGCCATCCTAAAAATGAACACATGACTGTATATTATCCATTGGTCTTTGACAGCCTGGCTTTTCTTGTGGTCTGACAACAAAACCTGCAATGGCTTTAGATGCCCTTTATTTTCCTTCTTAAGCTAGGATGTACTGTTTCAGTGGCCATGCACTTCCCCTTCATTACACTCTTCTTTCTGCTACGTTTTGTTAATGCTCTGCTCACATTGTTTTGCACCCTCCAGTAATCACAGCATCAGTGGCCAGAAGTACGGCCATAATTCCTTACAAGGTCTGGGATCCTTGACATGACCACGAGAGAAGGGAGAGTGTAAAAATCCCTCCCAGCCGGCTGAATCTGTAGCCTGGAGGAGCTTTTCTGTGCTGCTCTGCTTCTTTTTCCATTCTAGATAATATTCTATAATGTATGCTGAATTTAGCTGGCTTTGCTGTTCTGTGTTGGGAGCCCTCGGGGGTTTTAGAGGAGCTGGCCAGGCAGTGTGTTACCAGTCCCCTGTGCCCTGGGAAGCTGCACTTGCAAATCAGCTATTTTATGTGAAACAGCTTTGAACCTTGATGCCTTGTGGTGCCAGAAGACATGTTTTTCTGGAGTTCCCATGTTCAGCTTGCAATGAAAGAAAGATGATCTTGGTGGCAAAGGCCCAGGTTCGGGACTCAAGATATATCCAAGTTGTTGACGTCTGCAGATCCTCTTAATTGACCACTGGGTCTCTCTCTGTGTCCAGATGCTTAGTAAGTGCTCTCCCCCTGTCCAGGGAATATAGCACTCAAATACTGCAGTGAGAGCGGCTCTGAGCTGTGGCGGTACCCAGCACTGATGCGGGTGCCCTGAGGAGCTAGCTCGCGAGAAGGACGGCCCTGGTCACTGGGCATGGCAGAGGTCTGAAAGGTATGTGGTACTCCTCATCACCAGTGACAGCTGAAAAAAAATACTAGGATGCTTTTTGCAGCAATGGTTTAATCCAGGATTCGGCACGAATTCCAGCTGTTGACAATTATATTATCCCTGTAGTTTTAAGTAGATGCAGTGTTTGTTGCAAGGGATCTGACCTGTTAAACTGCTGCTGCTTTGTGCTCCACTGGGGGTGCCTTTTAGTGACAGATGAAATGGTTTTGGTGTACAGTATATATAATGTCTCTCAATTTGTTAAATTTGCCAACTATTTTGGGAGCCTGTGGGCAGAAAAGTCATATACAAATGTGAAGTGCTATTATTCATCCTAAATGACTCTGTTCCATTGTCTTAAAAAAAAGAAAATATCTATATCTACATCTATATATATATATAAAAA